CTATAATCCGATTGTGAGTAATTCGCAATTATTTATTAAAATCGAAAACGTTGAATTAATTAAAAAAAAAAATAGGAAGTGGAGATGACATTTCGTAATTTACCGGCCACATCGACGAATATATCTTGCTTGAGTTTATGCACGCGATGGAATCGGTATCCGAAGAATGCACCGAGCAAGAGGAGAGAGAATGCGCCGATGCTTGCTATCGTGACAAGAATTTGAACTTTGGAGTTTCTTTTAGAAACTGCATTAATATACATCAATTGATTTAGTTTCTTTCTTTTTATTTTTTATTTTTAATTTTTTGCAATTATTATTATTATTAGTAATCTATAAGCAAACCTGGAACAGAGGAGCTTGAAATACAGGGCTGCTTTAAATTGTTGTCGCACGTCAGATGAGTCGCCGTAAAGCTGATACGTTAAATCCCGATGAAAAAAAATAATCACAAGATTATGCTTAATCACGTTGAAATCGACAAGATTAGATACATTTGAATGAACTGAAATAAGCCAACGTACTTGAAAGTCGGTATCGAGAACAGTTGTTGAGGAATTTTCCCGGTGAAATCATTGGACGAAAGGTCCCTGCATGTAATAAAAAAAAATCTCGAGACTTATAAACACAAATAAAATAACCGGCGAAAACACGTAGCTTAATTACAGAATTAATAATTCTTACAATTCGATTAGGCCAGTTACGTTTACTAGTGATTCGGGTATAGATCCGCTTAAGTGGTTTCCTCTCACAACCCTAATGCAGATATTCGTCACTTAAGTATATAATATATATATGTCGAATGTAAAAACGAATTACGAATTTCATGCAACCTTTTCGATAGTTGTAAGAATGAATATATTTTGTTTTTTGGACTTACAAATGTTTAAGGTTGGAAAGTTGACCCCACGACGATGGAATAGAGCCGTTGAAATTATTGTGCGCCAAATTCAAATTCTGCAGATTCGACATGCTGCTTAGAGAGTCGGGTAGGCCGCCCGATAGACTGTTATGCTGTAAATCCCTGAACGCAACAAACGAAGCTTGTCACCTTTCGAAAATAGTAATCTTGTACAAATTTCGACAAACATTAATTTTTTTTTCGAAAAGACATACATAAAAATAAAATTAAAATTAAAATTAAACGGCTCGCTTCCCATCACTTACAAGCTAACGAGAAACTTCAATCTGGTAATCGACGGTGAAAGTGTTCCTGTAAATCCGATGGACGGAAAGCTTCTGCAGAAGTCGAAGCATTGATAAACTAAAGAATCAGAAAGTATATGTACTTGATTCATGAGAACTGGAGCATTAACTACAGAGTATTGGTTTTCAGTTTTTTCTTATTTTAAGGTAAATTACAAAAATCCCCCTGGACTTAGGCTAAATTACAAAAAACACCCCTACCTATCCGTAATTACCAAAGATTCCGCTGATCTTTGTTTCCGTCTTACACCGACCCCCTTACGGTATGTTTGTCTACGTAATTTTTTTTATTCTAGGAAATATTCCCCGAAAAATGTCGATGTAACACTGCAGATGTCGATAGATTGAATGTAGCCACCATGCACATTATTTAGAAAATTACCTATATATTCTGCGATAATTCATAGTAGCAATCGAAGAAGTCTATTGACATTGCAATGTGTTGTTGAAGAAAAATATCAGTTTAGAAGGTATCCCAATGCCACCTACATTTAAGAGGTTGTTCTTAGGGGTAGAATCGGCAGTTTTTTGAGAAATATTTTCTAAAAACAAACAGATCACGTGAAAAATCACATTGTAAGAGGGTCAGCGTAAGACGAAAACAAACGACGGGGGAATTTCGGTAAGTACGGATAGGTGGAGGTGTTTTCATAATTAAGTCTAACTTCAGGGATTGTTTTGTAATTTATCCTTTATTTTATTTTTTTCGACCAAAAAAAGAAAAGAAGCTTAGGAATAAATGGAAAGAGGATACTAACAGTGAAACAACACTTCCATTAATACAAGTAACATGAGACCAACTGAAACAAGGGCTCACAAAATGACTATCCCAATCCTTTATTTTATCGTTCGAGTCTTTCAGAGCCGTTAGAAACTCGATTAAAGCCTCACCTGCAATTTTTTTTTGAAAAACAAAACATCAGCAGAAATTCGACCGATATATTTTATCTTATCATATCATATGAGTCATTAAATAATTAAGAAAAAATTAAAAAATTAATACGATACCTTCAATATTAGGTTCATTTGATGCACCACAAATGAGAGGCAGTAGTAACAAGAGAAGACGAAGAAGAAAGTTGATAGATGAATTGAGAGAGAAACGTGTGGCAGAATCGGCTTTAGCCATGTTATTTCCTCTGTTTTCCTAAGCAAATATCTCTTTCGGGTAATTGTGAGTATTCGAACCTTAAACACGAGCGAATAAACGATTGAATTCTTTAGAAAAAAGAAAAAAAAAGAATATCCGACGATTTTCATGTTAATCTCACGACAATAATACGAACCAACGAGTGGTAACGATGATCATGGCTATAATACGAACTCTCTTTTTTTTTTCAAGAAACAGGAAACAAGATCACAAGAGCAGCTTGCAACATATATACCAAAAAAAAAATTAATAAAAAAAAAACGAACATAGATGCGCCCGAAATCCGGAAAATCCGCAGCTTTAATACATATAAATATATGAAAAATGAAATTAAATGCTACAAAGATCACATAAGCATGCAAAACCATTCATGCATACCTCTTAGAAGAGTTGTTACTTAAGAAGAAAATAAATAAATAAATCAATAAATAAATAAATTAAAAAACATGCATAAATTCATGAAGAGATAGAAAATAGAAAGAAAGCTGACCTTGTTTACCAAAATTTATTGAAGAATAGAAAAACACATTAATAAATACAAGGAGCTTAAGACAAAAGGCCAATTACTAGAATCAATAATTATCCTAAAATGCTGATGTCTTAGTGTTAAGGACCTACAAAAGCATTCAAGAGATGGGGAAAAAAAAAAGAAGGTGCTTTATAAAAAGCAATATATATATATATAAGGGGAGAATTATGTTTTGTAGATGCTACACGTTATGAAATATATTGGATGCTTTGATACAATCGATTTACACACATATATAATTAAACCTTTATAAATTAATACAGTTAGGATCAGCTAAATTCTACTAAGTTAGCAAAATATCAATTTAATAGAATATTTTTTAGCATGCCTCCGAGTCAGGACCGGAAAAACATATTAATTAAACGAGGTTATTAATTTATCGACGTTCTATGCATGTAAATGTTTGCAAAATGAGCAGTTAAAGTTATCAATACACATGTACGATTAGATCTTATCCAATAAAATTTATCAGGTGTAGCATCCAACGTAGTTGATAATTCAAGATTATTGAAAAGGGAAAAAATTGAGGGGAGTGCAATTGAATTGTTTAGTGGTGTGGTGAATGAGAATCCCACTAATAATACACGAAAATAAATAAAATGCTATATTTCTTTGTTCTTCATAGACTTTCAATTACAAAGATAAGATGCTTTAGAAGCAATCAATGAGCATAAAATTAGGCTCTCTTTTTGCCATGACTGTATTATTCCATGTTTAGAGCACATCTACTTTTCTTTTATTTTATTTTCTTTTCTTTTTTCTTTTTTTTTCTTCTTTTTAATTGGATAATGATCAAGTCATACTATACATACATGAAAACTTATGTATGAAGCCATTATGTGAATATACTTACAATTAAGGGTCAATGGTGTAATTGTGAAACCCTACTAACATGAAGTAATGTTATAACATGAAATAATGCATTTCATATACATTATTCGTATACATTATTGGGAAATCTAAAATGACAGATAATATCGGTGGATAATGAACAAGCCATTCTATCAATGGTGTTTCTTTTATTGTTTTAAAATTTCATGGTATATTTCCTAGTATCTTATTACATTCACAAAGTTTAATTTTCTAAAATTTTGAAATGGAATTATTTTTTGAATCATCGAAAAGTTTATGTAATTTTAAATTTTATTTAAATTTATAAATTTCTCGTGTGAGTTTCAATTCTATAAATATTGTTCATTTTCTTTTATAAAAAAATATATATTTATTAGGTATTTATAAATGTTTAGAGAAAGAGTAAGTGTGCAAGTTTTTAATAGTGATCGTTCGAATTTGACTCCAATGGGTATGAGATTTTTACTACTTTCTCCGTTCCTAATTAATTGACGTTTTTCAGCTTTGCACAAGTATTAAAAATGTCAATAAATTTGTCTTGATTTTAGGAGAAACACATTAAAAACACTAAAATAATCTTGATCATTTATGATGCGATACAAGAAAAATAATACACAGAACTGAATTAATAAAGTTAAAACATGAAATAATGCATTTCACATACAATATTGAAAAAAAATATAAAATGACAGATAATATGGAACAAATGAATTATCAACATAACGGAAATATTTTTGGCATCTCAAATATTGGACCGATGGACTAGCAATCTATTGGTCAAACCAAATTAATTTCTTTTTATATTGTATAAATGAATAATGAAAAATATCATATTTTAAAATTTATAAATAACTACATGTATATAATAAAAATTACATGATTTTGTCACAAATAATGTAGTATGGGTGGTGGAATAATCTACTCCTGCATATGGGGGTGAACCAAACCAAACAAATAGATTTGAGTCAAAAGGAAAATTGAAGGTAGTGCGGCAAAAAAGAAAATTGCATGATCTATTATATTATATTTCACTTATACTGGA